CCTCCTGTGAGGAGCTGTGGCCGCAGCAGCGCCGTGTCGGGGCCCCGCCGCGCGGGGCAGGGCGAGGAGGGCAGGCGCGGGGCCATAAAGGGGCTGGGTGGCTCCCGAGGACACTTGAGGGCTTTTCTCTGCTCTTTCCCCTCTCACAGCCCAGCCGATAGCACGGAAAAGCTAAAAATGTGCTTGTTCACGCTGAACTCTAAAAATAAAGCTGCATCTAAAAATTACAGCTTGTAGCAGAGGCATTAATCTCGTTTAGGGATGTTTTGAATGTTACTTGACAATTTTTTTTTCTTTGCAGAAATAGTAGAATTTCAGAAAATAGTGGGTAGCTTAATTGAACTTGTTGATCAACTGGCAAAAGCTGCTGAAAGTGAGAAGATGAAGGTACAGTGCAATTAATTGCTGGCTTGTTGTGTGCTCTGCTCTGTGCTGTGCGTGAAAAAAAAAAAAAACAACAGATCTCTCCCTCCTTTTACGGCATAAGCAGTCTTTTTCTGTCAGTATTGTACGGGCAGTTCATGGTCATCAGCATCGGTTTGTCTGCAATATGCATGCACTGGCCTCTTTAATTTATACGAATGTCTAGAAGACTTCTACAGGCACACTCAGGGTCACATTATTCCTGCATTTAAGTTGTACTGTTCCTGCTTATCTGTATATTCACACATAAATAAAAAGTGTCTTTTTAAATCACTCCTTCTACTAATAGAACTTTGTCGTCGGGAGGCAGGAGAGGCTCTGGGGGGAGGAGGAGGAGGAGAAGGGATTTCTGAAGACCAGATCAGCGAACTGCTCTGTAACTGATTATGTATTTCTGCGTGGCACCAAGCAGCGTGGGTTTTTTCCACATTACTGCAGAAATAGAAATGAATGTTTAGCACAATTGTAATTGCTCTATTCCTCATTTGTTCTGAGGAGTAAGTTATAAGCAGAGCTTGCCTCGCTGTAGGACCAGGCACCAGTGGTCAGTCTGTAGCTCCAGAGGAGTTGGTGACTTTTGGGTGAGGCTGAAGGAAATCTCACCACCTGCATCTGCCCAACCTCTGCAGGACTGTTCCACCAGCCATCCAGTACGAAGGTGTCACCCTCCTTTGTCAGCGTGGCTGAGACGCTTCAAAATCAACCTGCTAGGAGTGAAATGGGTTCAAAAAACCATAAAAATCCCGACACCCACATCACCGACTGTCCTCTTTTGACAGGCCATCGGTGCGCGAAATTTGCTGAAGTCTATAGCAAAGCAAAGAGAAGCTCAGGAACAGCAACTTCAGGCTCTAATAGCTGAGAAAAAGGTGCAGTTGGAAAGGTAAGTTTTTTATTAAATACTTCTGGGGCCGTATAGAGGCTGGAGGGTCCCTCTCGCCGGCTGTGCCCGGGTGCAGGACAGCCCGAGCTCGCTCAGCCACGCCGCGGGCTCCGGGGCCAAGGAGAGGCAGCGGGAGGTGCCGCAGTGAAGGGGATCAGGGAACCCACCGAGCCCTGTCACAAAGCTTCCGCAGACCGGGGCGTTGTGCGGAGCCGCCTCCCGTGGGCTGGGGGGAGCTGGTAACCCTCTGTTTTGTCTTTCAGGTACCGAATAGAGTACGAGACTCTGTGTAAAATTGAAGCAGACCAGAACGAATTCATTGACCAATTCATTTTTCAGAAATAGAGGATTTTAAGATAAACTGACTTGGAAACTTGATCATTCCGGAATCTTGAGAATTTCAAAAATATGCAATTTTTCACTGTGTACGAATGAAGAGATGGTTTGTACAAATGGAAGTGTCTTATAATTCAGTGTGAATTACACTAAAATGGCAATAAGGAGGGCGTTTAACAGATGGAAAGACTGTTCTGTCCATTGATTTTATAAAAGTTTTGTACTGTCAGTAGTTCTAATTCAAATTATAGTTGAATTAATACTACTGTTGCTATGTTACGTCCCTCACTTTTTGACTGTACAGCTCTTCCAAAGAAATCAGGAAATAAATTATTGATTTCAGACTTTCTGGCTATACCAGAATTAGTTGTTTCTTCTATGTTATTTTTGAGCTTAAAAGTTTACAACACCCTGAATAGTCATCATGCTTTTCCTGTATGCAGTATTTTTCATATTTACAGGGATAGGACACACAAGCAGCATTAACTTTGACCTGTATTGACCTGATTATTTTTCCTATAGAGTTAGAAAAAAACCGCCAGAAATTTATGATTAACAGAACGGATCAATTCCCAACACACAAACCCACTGGAAGTACAGCACAATTAAGAACTTTAATCTATGCCCGAGGTATGTCCCTGCAGGTAGTTATATCAGAGGTAAATTCTTTCATGGGCTTTATTAGTGATAATTAGCAATAATAATCGGATGTAACCCGATGGGAGGAACCGTTCTGAGCCTGCAGAGACACCCAGACTCTGTAGACGCTAAGTGTGAGTGGGACATTTAGAAGCTGAATGCCTGTGATCTGAAATCAAGCCCTGTGTTGAAGTGCAAATAGATGTGGTTTAGGTCTGTCTTTAGGCAACGTCGGCCTTTTCAGAGCCCGGGGAAGGTTTAAATCTTACACCAGTGAAGTCCTGAAATAGAGGCAGTGACTGACAAACCTTCTTGGGGATCTGTAATCTTACACAAGGCTCCAAGTTTGATTCTTGTAGGTCAGGCTGAGAACTTTAAAAAAAAAAAACAACCCAAACCCAACCAACCCCCCCAGAATTTCTATCAGTAGTAGGTTTTATTTACTGTGACGTGTGCCTTAATTTGTTGTGTGAACTATCTACGATCTCATGATCATTTTAAGTTCATTTTAGTCATTCCCTTAAGAAGATCAAATGCAGTTTAATGCGTTTAATTATTTCCATGCTAGAAGTGATTTGATGGAAGAGAGAAGTTTACAAACCCTTGTTTACAATTCCCGGAGTACTCCACAATTCTCGGAAGGAGAAGTATGCCTTGTTGCAAAGTTAACTCTGAGCATTGATAAATCCAGATTTCGGCACGTTTCTCACTGATCAGACATTCACAATTAAAATAGAAGCAGAGCAAAGGAAGGTGAAATTTTAAAGGAAAGGGCACGGAGGGTAAGAATTATGATTTGAAATGCCTCAAAAGCACAGATCTGCAAATCTGTACGGGATCAGGTCGGATTTTGCAGAATACACTCTTGGGAGAGAATTTTCTTACTTCAGTGGTTTTCTAACGGTCATCTTGGAAAAAGGGAACTTGAAAGAAAAGTACCAGCTGTAGCTTCCCCGCTCCATCCCACACGGAAACGAGTGGTGAAAGTTCCTTTTCCCGTTGCAGATGGACCGCGAGGGCCCATCGCCTGCGCGTGCCCAGAAACCACCCGAAGCGCCAGCGCAGGCCTCTGCCAGAGCTTTTTCTGATGGAAGGAGCCGTGAGCTCACACCAGATCAAACTCTTCCTGCAGGAGCCCGACACGCTCGCAACACCACGAGGCAGATGTTTGTCCAAGGACTGCGGCAGCACAGGGTCCGAATCAAAACCGGCGTGAGCGTCGTGCGTACGGCTTCCGGAGCGGGCTACTTCCTTTTCCTTTTCTCCACGTGGTTGTAGTGCGGGTGGTAGAGCATGGTGACGAGGATGAGGAGCGGGATCAGCAGGTACGGCACGTAGACAGAGAGCAGGGTCAGGCGCTCGCGCTGCGTCTGAGGGCCCGGCTGCTCCGACGGGGAGAAGTCGTGGAACAGGATATGGGCCAGGATGGCAAACAGAGTCGTAGCTGCATGGGTGGAGTAGATAATGGCAGGAGTCCTGATCCATCTGCAGCCACCTGTACAGAGCAGAAGGGAAACGGTGTGGCAGAACTGTGAAACAAGCAGAGTTCAGTGGCTTTTAAGTTAAGAGAACATGAACCGCTGTGTCTCTGCCAGGACAAGCCACGCGTCCTGTTCAACAGGCAGTAGAAAAAAACATAAATACAAACAGCAACCCAGGAAAATTATCTACCTTTATGGAAATTTAGAGCAACAGTGGGATCATGACAGTTTTAAAGTAACAAAAAGAGCACACAGAGCTTTATCTGCTGCGGGAGCGGGCCGGATGTCAAAGGGTGACGCTGGTTACGGACAAACGGCTGACAAGGGCCTGCAGTCCCGGGTTTTGTTTCCAAAGGCCTCGCTCAGAGCTGCCTTCTCAGGCAGAGCTGGCCTAGAAACCCGCAGAACGTTCACAGAATCACCTCGGCGGGAAAAGACCCTGAAGATCATCCAGTCCAACCATTAACCCAACGCTGTCAGTCCATGTGGTTCATCCCGATAGTTATTTAAGACTGATAAATAAACTTTCTCTGCTGTACAAAAAGCAGGCATGCCGCAGAGGTGCCGCGCAGGACGCGTCCTTACGCTTGGTTTACACCAACCTTTCAAGAAGGCGTAAACTGCAACGGGGAAGAAGGGCAGCTGCAGGACGGCTTCGCAATACATGAACGCCTTAAACCACGCCGGGGGCTGGAGCATCAGGGGGTCTCTAAAGGTGGAGGTGTACCATTCCAACAGCTCCGTCAGCTTCAAAAAAAGAACGGAACAACAGATTAATGCACTGGGCGTCAACGGCAACGGGGCAGAACCTGCCACCCTCCTCTGGCAGCGGGGTGACGTGGGAGAACCCGGCGATGGGAACGCTGGCGTGGTGATTCGTCCCCAGGACAGAAAGGTAAATTCCAGCATGGGCTGAAGTTGGACTTTGAACAGAGAGATATGTATTGAGATTTGCTGGTTAACTATTAATTAAAAATGGTTTCTATAGGTAATTCCACAGGCCATTCTAATGGCAAAAATCAAATGCACCAGTTGCAGAGCTCTTGCAGGAAGTTCTGGCTGAGCTCACCCCAGTGATAAGAGTTAAATTATCTTCTGCCCAATGTTACTTCAATCGATTTCAATACTGCCGTATATAATTTTAGTCAAAACCCGGCAAATCAAGACGTTTTTACTAATAAACGTGGTTGCTCCTCCTCCCGCAGCAGCAATTCCCTTTCACGGTTTTTGGCAGGAGCGGGAGAAGAGCGAGGGCTGGGGCGGGCCCCTTCCCCCGGGGGGGCAGAGGCTCGCCCGCACCTCCGTGAGCTCCTCGGGGCCACCCGCGGGCGGGCTACAGATTGAAACACACAAAAACCCCCGGTCACAGCGGCTGAACGTGCTGCTGCAGAACCGCGTTTGTTCTCCTCCCGGATGAGCGGCTCGGCCGGCCCCAGAGCGGGGCAGCGAGCGGGCTCCTGCTTTGCCTCTCTCGCTGCAGGCGATCCGCCGCGCCCCCCCGGGCCCCCGCGCTGGGCTGGGCC